GGAAGCGGCGAGCAATGAGCAGGGAGGGGGGGCCAGAGCGGCGAGGGCCCAGTGGCTCACCACTCGGCCCTCCCTTCGGAGGGGGGGGGGGGGAGAAAAAACTGCCGCCGGCACCGCCGCCGGCGCTTGGGAGGGAAGCAACGAGCGGCGAGCAGGGGGGGGAATCAGCGAGGCCTCCTCCGCGTGTTCTGCATGGAGCTCCCCCGCTCCCCCCCCCCACGATTTTCGTGGGTCCCCTTTCTTGTCTATATACTAATAACCAAGACGCCCCCTCTGTGCGGATATCTAAATCTGCACATTGGGGACACTTGGGGGGAAAAGAGATTTTTCTGCACACTTGGGGCAGTCCCTTGGTTTACAGAAAAATCTGGAAAGTTAAAAAAAACTATATGGGGGATACTTAAATCCCCCCCAAATTAAAAGAGTGTTCCCTGCACATGCGCAGAGAACGCTTTGGCCGTTAGGGGGGGAGGCCCAGTGGCTGGGAGCTGCTCAGGCCTTACCGTTTGTGCCCGGGGGGGGGGCGGGAGAAGGCTCGGCCAGCTGGGAACCGCTCGGGCCTCGCCACTGGTGCAGGGGGGGGGTAGAAGGATTGGTGGGCCTGGGGCTCACCGTCGGTGCTGGGGGGGCAGGGGAGAAGACTCACCAGCGGCTGCTTCCTCCTCCTCCTCCACGTGGAGCTCCTTCTCCCCCCCCGCAAGTATCGCGGGTCCCCACTTCTTGTTGTTTCAGAATTCCAAAGGGGCCCTCAGGCTCAAAAAGATAAGGTATTTCTGCTCTGCATATTCCACTAGAAACCGGCAACAAGAAGAGAGCTGTTAAGTTGAACCAAACATCCATCAAATCCAGCATTAAAAACAACAACAACAAAACACACACACACAAAGGAGATCTCCCCTGTGCCCCCATCTGCGATTCAGAGATAGACTACCTCAGAACATGAAGTTTCTGTTTAGCTACCCTGGCCAATACAAAGCTATTCAGAGACGAATCCTTCTCTATGAGTTCATCTAAAGCAGCCTGGGTACGTCCTCCAGACTGATAGATCGTTTTCCTGTGTCCCTAGGTAGCTCTTGCCAACATTTCATCAAGATGTGATTTTAAAAACGACAGCATTACAGGAGAGATCCACATTTTGCTGCTACATCTCTCCTTTGGCTGTTTTGTATGTCATTCCTTGACCATGAGCCCCACGAGTGTGGAGTTTTACTGTCCAAAGCTCCCTCCATGTGAAGCTTTGACCGCAAAGCGCCATACTCATGAAGCTCCACGCATGCGGAGCTCTCTATTTATTAGATGAAGCAGTTGGATTGTGTAGCACAATACATTTCTACTTTTAATGGCGCATCTCAGCCGAACTGGGACACATGAAGTCTGAGCATGTGCCTGTCCCTCTATGTCAGATGGAAGAGTTTCAAAACAGCTTTGAGGCGTGGGACCCCACTTTTTGAAAGACATAATCATCACCCTACCATGGCAGCAGGGCCTTTACTAGTGGCAAGATGGTCTGAAATCCAATACCTACTGATTTTGTCACCTCTGCTTTGCTTTGGCCAACTGAAAGCCAGTGGTGAGGAGCACGGACTCTAATCTGGGAGACCCGGGTTTGATTCCCCACTCCCCCACATGCAGCTGCTGGTATGACCTTGGGTCACTTACAAGTTCTCTCAGAGCTGTTCTCTCCGGAACAGTTTTCGAAAGAGCTCTCTCAGCCCCACCTACCTCACAGGGTGTCTGTTGGGGGGAGAGGAAGGGATTGTAAGCCGTTCTGAGACTCCAAGTGAAGGGCAGGGTATAAATCCAATCTCCTCCTCCTCCTCACAATACAAGAACTTGTGGGCACTCCATGAAATGAATGAACAGGAGGTTTAGAACAGATAAAAGGAAGTACTTCTTTACCCAAAGAGTAATAAAAACATGGAATTCACTGCTGCAGGAAGTGGTGGCAGCTACATACATAGACAGCTTCAAGAGGGGACGGGATAAGAATATGGAGCAGAAGTCCATGAGTGGCTCTTAGCTGCAAGGTCTAGAGGGAACACTCTGTCTGGGGCAGTGATGCTCTGTGTACTTGGTGCTTGGGGGGGCAACAGTGGGGGGCTTCTGGAGTTCTGACCCCGCTGGTGGACCTCCTGGAGGCACCTGGGTTTTGGCCACAGTGTGACACAGAGTGTTGGACTGGCTGGGCCACTGGCCTAATCCAACATGGCTTCTCTTGTGTTCTTTTGAAGGCAGTCTCCATGGGATTACATCTCCACTGACCTCCCTCTCCTCTCTAGGCACCGCCTCTCACATCCCCAGGAATTTCCCAAGCCAGAGTTGGCAACCCCGAGGAGGGGAGGTCCAACCTGCCCCTCTGATGCTTTTTCTCCCCACAGATCCCTGGTCAGCCAGCTCCAGAGACTCCAGGGCCTCATCAAGCAGACGTCCACCAAGGCCGCCCAGACCAGAACTTGCCTCGTGGTACGTGGGGGGGGGGAGGTTGACGCGGGAGGGGGCTGCACATTTGCTGAGCTTGGTCAAAGCCGTGCAACCAGATCTGGAAGAACTGCAGTGGCTACACCTCTAGGGGATGATCAGGGTAGGGAGAGGCTGTGGCTCAGTGGAAGAGCCTCTGCTCGGCATGCAGAAGGTTCCCATTTCAATCCCTGGCATCTCCAGTTAAAAGAATCAGGTAGGAGGTGATGTGAATGACCATAGCTTGAGACCCTGGAGAGCCATGGGCTGTGATTTAGTGTTAGAACCTCTGCTCTGCATGCAGAAGGTCCCAGGTTCAATCCCCAGCATCTCTAGTTAAAAAGACCAGACAGTAGGTGATGTGAAAGACCTCCGCCTGAGACCCCGGAGAGCCGCTGCCAGTCTGAGTAGACAAGACTGACTGTGATGAACCAGTGGGCTGATTCAGTATAAGGCAGCTTCATGTGTGTTTTTTCAAGGGGAGGCGCCGTGGCTCAGTGACAGAGCATCAGCTTGGCATGCAGAAGGTCCCAGGTTCAATCCCCGGCATCTCCAGTTGAAAGGCAGCACGTGATGGGACAGACCTCTCTGCCTGAGACCCTGGAGAGCAGCTGCCAGTGCAAGCAGACAATATTGACTTTGATGGACTAAGAGTCTGATTCAATAGAAGGCAGCTGGCTGTGTGTTTTCAAGGGGAGGGGCCGTGGCTTAGTGGCAGAGCCTCTGCTCGGCATGCAGAAGGTCCCAGGTTCAATCCCCGGCATCCCCAGTTAAAAAGGATCAGGTGGTAGGTGATGGGAAAGACCACTACCTGAGACCCCAGGGAGCTTCTACCAGTCAGAGTACAGTCTGTGGCTCAGTGGTAGAGCCTCTGCTTGGCATGCAGAAGGTCCCAGGTTCAATCCCCGGCATCCCCAGTTAAAAAGGATCAGGTGGTAGGTGATGGGAAAGACCACTACCTGAGACCCCAGGGAGCTTCTACCAGTCAGAGTACAGTCTGTGGCTCAGTGGTAGAGCCTCTGCTTGGCATGCAGAAGGTCCCAGGTTCAATCCCCGGCATCTCCAGTTAAAAGGATCAGGTAGGAGGTGATGTGAAAGACAACTACCTGAGAGCCCGGGGAGCTTCTACCAGTCAGAGTACAGTCTGTGGCTCAGTGGTAGAGCCTCTGCTTGGCATGCAGAAGGTCCCAGGTTCAATTCCCGGCATCTCCAGCTAAAAGGGTCAGGTCATAGCTGCTGGGAAAGACCCGGGAGAGCCACTGCCGGTCTGAGTGGGCAATATGGACCTCGATATTGGTACCAACGGGGTAAGAGGACGGCCCTATGAACACCAAACCATGACAGCCGCTGGATGGGGACGAGTAACACCTACGGGACATTATCCTCCTTAGTGAAGGAGTATCCTTGCTTTATAACATTTTTGAGATGCCATCTCGTTATATTGAGAGATTGAAACTAGTGAGCACTTTATTTTGTTAAACTGACTGTCTTGTTTGTATTGTTTTTGTGTGTCGGCACATGGTGCCCCTTGTAAGCCGCCCTGAGCCCGTCCGCGGGGAGGGCGGGGTAGAAATACAATAATAACTTAAATAACTTAAATAAATAAGATAGTCTGATTTGGTGTAAGGCGGCTTCGGGTGTTCAAGTATTTGGGCAGGGGGTGGCCATTTGTGGCTTGTACCTAGAGGCATCATTTAGCGGTGGACGGAGGGACCTTTATCCCTCTCATTCATCAGGACCCCCAATGGGCCAGTTCTCCGTCGCAGGGAAATGATTATTATCTACACAACGAAACTGGCTTATGTCTGCGTGAATAAACTACACGATGTATTTTCCCCGGGGGGGGGGTCAGCCGATGTGTTCAGGGAGTCTGCCTCCCAGGTCCACGTGGGCCTGATTCGGATCGGGACCCTGTCATTCAAGGAGAGGGGTCTTGAGCCCCTCCCCTTTACCTGTTTTTCGAGATGGAACCCACCCACCCCCAGCTTCCCTCACTGGGGATGACTAGGCACACCATATCAGTATAGGCAAAGGTTTCCCTTGCTCGAAAGCCAGTCGAATCCGACTCTAAGGGTGCGGTGCTCATCTCCGTTTCCAAGTCGAAGAGCCAGCGCTGTCCGAAGACGTTTCCATGGTCATGTGGCCGGCAAGACTAGACGCCAAGGCGCACGGAACGCTGTTACCTTCCCACCGAAGCGGTACCTATTTAAAGGTAAAAGTAAAGGTTCCCTTGCTTGAAAGCCAGTCGAATCCGACTCTAGGGTTGTGGTGCTCATCTGCGTTTCAAAGCCGAAGAGCCAGCGCTGTCCGAAGACATTTCCGTGGTCATGTGGCCGGCATGACTAAACACCAAGGCGCACGGAACGCTGTTATCTTCCCACCGGAGTGGTCCCTATTTATCTACTTGCAATTTCTTGCTTTCGAACTGCTAGGTTGGCAGGAGCTGGAACTAGAGACAGGAGCTCACTCCGTCATACGGCACACTCGGGTTCAAACTGCTGAACTACCGACCTTCCACAGCCTGCAGTTCAGTGTCTTAACCACTTGAGCCACTGCAGCTTCTTGCTTTCGAACTGCTAGGTTGGCAGGAGCCGGGGCCAGAGACGGGAGCTCACTCCGTCATGCAGCACTTGGGTCTCGAACTGCTGAACTGCCAACCTTCCAGTCTGCAGTTCAGTGCCGTAACCACTTGAGCCACCGCAGCCCGTATCAGTATGCAGTAGAACAATATTAGAGTCCAGTGGGGCATCTTTAAGACCAACAAAGGTTTATTCAAGGTAGGAGGTTTCGTGCGCGCGCACACTTTTTCAGATATATTGGAATGGTGTGTAAGGTTCAGACTTATAGACAGGGAATATGCAGAGTCCAAAATAACAAGCTAAGGTTATAAGAACAACAGCTGTCAAGCAATAAATACGTCCGAATAGCAGATGACTGTCTAAAGGTGTCTTTTCGAATTGCGGGAAGCAAACCAAGACTCCGAAAACTCTGGACTCTTGTTTTGTTGTGCTGCTTCCAATCAACACGGCTGCCCACCTGGGTATACACAGTACACAGCAGTCTACTGGGGCACGCAGGGCCAGCCGGAGCCATTTCAGGTTGGGCATATCTCATGGAGAAGGCCGAAGACCCAACCTGGCAGGCTCAGAGTCCCAGAACACATCTGCGGGCTTGGCCTGGGGACACCCCTGGGGAACAAAAGGTATCACCTAGACAAGCTCTTTGGCAGGTATATCAAAAGCGCAAATCCCTTTGCCTGTAAAGCACACGTTGCCGCTTCTGTTGGGAACACTGCGCTCCTCCTTGGGTTTTTTTCCCCAAAAGCAACCGTGACGGATGATTTCAGAAATATCTTTGGCAGGGTGCGGAATCTGTTCTCCAATAAACGCGGCACATAAATCAAGCCAGCACCTTTGCCTAACGTCTTGGTCTCTTCTGACGCAGAGGAGTTTCACGGGGGAGGGCGTATGAAAGCTTCCGTGGACTTCAGCCTACAAAAGCGTCCGCTGCTATACATTCGTCTTCAGGGGTCATTTCATAGAAAAAGAGGTACAGGAGCTCATTCGTATAACTCATTAGCACGACTTATTTGCATAGGCCACACACCCTGGCATCACCGGACGTGTGTCAGAAGGCAGCACCCACCGCTCAGGCTCCACTGGACTGTTTTGGATTGCTAGCTCGGGGGGGGACGGGACGTGCAGATCTGTCCTCGCAGAGGAGGGAGAGCTGGTACCTGAATAAAACTTGGTCTTAAAGGTGCCACTGGACTGTTTTGGGCCGGGGGGCCGGGGGGGGGAGCTCTGCAGCTTACCTGGCTGCTTCTTGCTCTGACTGAGGGCTGCTGGGAGCAGGGGGTGGGGCTTGCTGCATGTGCTCGCCCCCCGGGCTCTTTACTGCCAGAGCTCCGCTCCTGTGCGCTCCTGCAGGAAATGACCCCTGTTCGTCTTAGAGGTGCCATAGGAGTCTTGGTTTTGTTTGCGTGATTCTGTGATGTCTCAGGCTTATTTTCGAAATCTTCCCTTCCGCTCGCAGATCCTCATCTTCTCTCTTGGACTTCTCATCCTTCCCAGCTGCAGCTCCTTACTTGGGGGGACCCAAATAAGCCAGGAGGAATACCGACCTTCTGGAGGTAACTTGTAGAGAGGAGGAGGAGGTGTGAGGTCGTGGGGGGGGGAAGGGAGATGGGAAGAGCAGCTGCTGGTGTGACCTTGGGTCAGTCGCAAGTTCTCTTGGAGCTGTTCTCTCAAGGGCAGGTCTAGAGAGAGCTCTCTCAGCCCCACCTACTGTTGTGGGGAGGGGGAGGGAAAGGAGATTGTAAGATTGTAAGCTGCTCTGAGACTCCTTCGGGTAGCGAAGGGCGGGGTATAAATCCAATCCCTTCTTTCTAGGCTCGATAGAGCCTCCCTATGCAGAAGCAGTACATTCATTCATTCATTCATTCATTCATTCATTCATTCATTCATTCCGTTTATACCCCGCCCTCCCAACCAAGGCAGGCTCAGGGCAGCTGACATAAAAATTTAAAACAGCTGAAACAATACATTTCTAAAAACCGATCATCAAGGGCTAGTGTGCCAAGGTATAAACTGATGGGCCCTGAATGCTGGGTGCCGGCAACAAATGGCAACCGTCACCAGAGTTTCCGGAGGCATCTCTGAAGCAGAGATTCTGGACCAGGTGAAGTTCCAAATTGTATTTCGGTGGATATGAGAGCCAGAAATAGTTCTAGTTGAACTATGGCCCTGTTTGGTGTCTTGGTTAAGTGCGCGGACTCTAACCTGGGAGAACCGGGTTTGATTCCCCAGTCCTCCACTTGCAGCTGCTGGATGACCTTGGGCAAGCCATTGTTCTGATAAGAGCTGTTCTTGAAAAAGAGCAGTTTCTGTCAAGAGCTCTCTCAGCCCCACCTCCCTCACAGGGTGTCTGTTGTGGGGAGGAGGAGGGAAAGGAGTTTGTAAGCCGCTCTGAGACTCCCTTGGGTAGTGAAGGACTGGGTATAAATCCAATCTCTTCTTCTTCTTCTTCTATTCTATCCATGTAGTCTATTTTTATTCATCTGGGCATAGAGCAGGGGTCATGGAGGGAGTGGGGGGGGGAGAGGCAGCTGTGAATATCCTGCATTGTGCGGGGGGTTGGACTAGATTACCCTTTGGGATCCCTCCCAGCTCTGTGCTTCTATCAAGGAGCTCGGGACGGTAAACATAGTTCTCCTTTCCCCGACTAGCCAGATTCGAGTCTTGTAGCACCTTAAGAGGCCAACAAGATTTTTTTTGGGGGGAGTATGAGCTTTCAAGGGTAAAGCTCCGTCTATCAGACAATGTTTCTTCAGTGTGGTATAGTGGTTGACTGCACAGACTCTAATCTGGGAGAGCTGAGTTTGATTCCCCGTTCCTCCACATGCAGCTGCTGGTGTGACCTTGGGTCAGTCACAAGTTCTCTCAGAGCTGTTCTTTCAAGAGCAGCAGTTTCTGTCAGAGCTCTCTCAGCCCCACCTGCCTCACGGGGTGTCTGCTGTGGGGAGGGGCAGGGGAAAAGAGATTGTAAACCACTCTGAGATTCCCTTGGGTAGTGAAGGGTGGGGTATAAATCCAATCTCCTCCTCCTCCTTCTCTTCCCTGACTGTGCCCTCAAAAGAACCTTATTGACTTCATTTCTCCGCAGTGGGGACCCCAGAACGGCTTACCCCATTCTCCTCTCCTCCATCTGATCCTCACAACAGCCCTGCGAGGTAGGGCCGGCTGAGATGACGCGACTGTCCCGAAATCACCCAGCCAGCTTCACTGGTAGAGCGGGGATTCGAACCTGGCTCTCCCACATCCTAGTCCGCAAAGTCTATGCTCCGCCCCCTGCCGGCTCTCCTCACGCTCCTTTCCTTCTCCCGCAGTGATCTCCAGAACGATCCTGACCGAGGGAGGGCTCTCTGATCCGGAGGAGCCTCCCGGTGCTGACGAACCAGAACCACCTCTTCTGGAAACTGGACCGCTCTGGAAAAGCTCGGGGGATCCAGATCCCGGCAGTGGAGAGAAAGGGGTCTGGGAGAGCACGGGGCAGGGACCGCCGGGTCTTCTTGGGAACTCCGAGACGGAGCCAGCAGAGGGTCTGCCGGCCGAAGCAGAGAAGCCTGTGCCCGAAAGAGACCCCACCAAGCAATTGCATGCAGATGAGATGTGATAGCCAGAGAGGTTCTACAGAAAGAGGCCACGGATTCGAAACATCCGACCTGGGACTCTCTGGCGGCGTTTGTACAACCCAGGTCCCTCCTAGGCTGATGTGATGGGCTATGCATCTGAGAATGCCTTCCGCTGGGTATGGAGCAGGGGGTCACTGGGGGAGTGGTGGGGGAGAGCAGCTGTGGATTTCCTGCCTTATGCCGGGGTTGGACTAGATGACCCCTGGGGTACCACCCAGCACTGGTAACCCAGCGAAGCAAGAAGACTCCCTGCTTTTTTGAAGGACGCTGAGCCTGCTTCCAGGTAGACACTCCACACTGGACTATACACACTTTGCCTTTCCCTGTTTTTCAGGGAGCATCCTGATTTTCTGGCCTCTGGCCCCAATAAATCACAATCACAAATTTTAATTTTTTTTTTTAAAAAAATTGCCTTTCGGCAACAGCTTGTTCAAACTGTGTTCCTCAGTTTTTTCACTCTTCTGGTTTCTGCTCCCAGAAGTTCAGTTCCAGTTGCAGCAGATGCATCTTGTCTCTAATGTGCATCGTAGAAGAAGAAGAGGAAGAGATTGGATTTATACCCCGCCCTTCACTACCCAAAGGTGTCTCAGAGCGGCTTAATAACTCCTTTCCCTTCCCCTCCCCACAACAGACACCCTGTGAGGCAGGTGGGACTGAGAGAGCTCTTGACAGAAACTGCTCTTTTTCGAGAACAGCTCTTGTCAGAACTACAGCTTGCCCAAGGTCATCCAGCAGCCAGGTGCAAGTGGAGGAGTGGGGAATCAAACCCGGCTCTCCCAGATTAGAGTCCGCGCACTTTAACCACGACACCAAACTGGACCTCAGTAGGGTATAACGCCACAGAGTCCACCCTCCAAAGCAGCCATTCCCTCCAGGTGAATGGATTTCTTCTTTTGCCTGGAGATCAGCTGTAATAGCGGGAGCTCTCCAGCCGCCACCTAGAGGTTGGTAACCCAGCGGCAGACCAGAATCCAACAGGGGCAGCCTTTCCCCCTTCCGCACAATTCAGGCCCGTGGCCAGGATTTTTTAAATTCGGGGAGCCTTTAAATAAGCCAGGGGGCACCCCGCACCCCCCCCAAAGGAGTGCCTGGGCTGGATGGGATGTCGGGGGGCCTCGGTGGTAAGTCAGGGGGCCTGGCCCCGAGGTGCCCCACTGCGGCTACAGGCCTGCCGCACATGGAGGGACAGTGACCGGATCCAGGTTTTTGTCTGCTCACACAGCCCCACACGACACACCACGTCTTCCCACGGAAACGTGCCAGCCCGAGATGCGGCATTCTGCACATGCTCTGAGTCTCATCTTATTTTCCTGCACAGTCTGGAGAAGGTTCCCCTGCTCAGACTGAGCTCAGCCCTTTGGTTTCCCCGCCGAACCCGAGGCATCGGCTGGACACTTCTGCTTCTGGTGGTGACGCATTGAGAGGGAAAGGTATTTTAATGGTGCCGAATTGGTGTTGATGACAGGGGAGGGGGAGGGCGTGGGCAAGGAGAGGGCCGCCGGCCGGGCCAGCCGCAGAGATGATGTCATCTCCCAGGAGAAGGCGCGCTCACTCGGAGTGGCATGAGCGGAAGAGACGACCTTTCTCGGCCGAGCATATTTCTACCCTGCCCTTCCTCGAGAAGCGTAGCACCACACACGCAGTCCTTCCTTCCCCATCTTGTCCTCACAACACCCCTGTGAGGCAGGCCAGGTGTCGAGAAAGCAATGAGCCCAAAGAGATTAAAATGTGGAAATCGCTGCGAGAGGATGTGGTGATGGCCATGGGCATGTTGTTGTTCAGTCGCACAGTTGAGTCCGACTCTTCGCGACCCTGTGGGCCACACCACGCCAGGCCCTCCTGTCTTCCGCCATCCTCCGGAGTTTGCTCAACTCCATGTTCGTTGCATTGAGCAAACTTCAGAGGACGGTGGAAGACAGGAGGGCCTGACGTGATCTTGTCCATGGGGTAGCGAAGAGTCAGACTCGACTGTGCGACTGAACAACAACAACATGTTCGTTGCATCAATAAGAGGAGGAGGAGATTGGATTTATACCCCGCCCTTCACTACCCAAAGGAGTCTCAGAGCGGCTTACACACTCCTCTCCCTTCCCCTCCCCACAACAGACATCCTCTGAGGTAGGTGGGACTGAGAGAGCTCTTCCG